ATTAGCAGGAGGAGGAATGGACAACTTCAGGAGAGTATCGGTCGGCAGCTAAGTTGTTCAAGTCCACAGACCCGAGTTCATGATCGGATGAGAGGAGGAGATTCAAGTGTGGCAAGTGCCGAAAGTTTCATGACTGAAGGTGTGGACCTGTTGGATGTCGTAGATGTGGCGGCGAGGGTCATTTTGGTAGATATTGCAGACAGAGTTTGAGGGTTTGTTTCCATTGCGGCCAGGAGGGCCACATCAGAGCTCGTTGTCCCTTTCTCGTTTTCGGTGAGGTGTTGGACCCTACACCCCTAGCTTGGCATTTACCCGACAGTTGTCATGGGACAGCGGCAGTTTCGAGGGCCGAGGTTTGAGTTTTCAGTTCTTCGATTTAGTTGGTTGCTGTAGTGTTGGTAGTCATCTGTAATTTGTTATTATGTTTTGAAGTTCATTTGTAATCTTGGATGATCAGTTGAATGATATTATCTTATTTAGCTCTATTTTAAGTAATTTCTTATTGTGAATAGATTAATTATCATTGTCCTCAGATTACATGTGTGTTGGAATTTATGAATGTTGTGTGGGTTCAGATTCTCCTGTGTATCTGGATATTAGTGGTTGGGATCGAGTAGTAGAGTTCAAGTCGGTCTAGGTATCAAAAGATTGTGAAGTTGTCAGATTCTAGCATATTTCAAGTGGAGGAGAGTGGAACCTCGCAACAAGAAGAGCCTATGCCAAGATTCAGTTCTCAGTCGGATTTCTCCAAGTTCAGGACTTCCGTACAACAGTTGAATCTTATGATTTCGCGTCAAGATCAATGTCAGCTGTTGGATTTCCCTTCAAGTTGTATTAGTTTTAGTTGTGATTGCATCTGTAGGGCATGCTTGTGCTTTATACTCTAAGGTGTTAGGAGCCCAACTCTAGGGATGTGATGAGGGTTTCCTTGTTTGTTATTGTCTGATTGGGGTTTGGAAGTCTGAGTTGCGGCCCAAGGGCCTAATAGGGTCAGTTAAGTCTTGTTGGGATCAATGTGTGTCTTGTTAGGCTGCGAGTGCTGTTGTTGGTTAGTAGATCTGGGGTAAGCCCAAGTGTTGTTGTTGGTTAATGGGTCGGGGGTGAGCCCGAGTGTTGACAGTAGATAGCTAAGCAGGGTTGTCGAAGCCGAGTAGGAGTGTGGTCTAGTTTAGTATGTGACTGTTTGGTTTTCTTCGTTTTAGTGTACTTATTTGCGGGATTAACAGGACGACGTGTGGCCGAGAAGGTTTTGGGCCGATCAAATCTGCTGATTTTCGGTTAGTTTAGTTGAGACGAGGGTTGCGTCAGATTTTGGAGTCTTGGTTTGATTGGCTTGAGCCTAGGGTGGAACCATTATTGATGATGGTTTCAGATGTTGACATTTCAGTGACCTTAGCCGCATTGAAGGAGTCGGGTTTGAAGGACCCTCAGGGGGTTATATCATGAAATGGAAGCGAGTACTGATTTCTAGGATGAAATCTAATTTAAGTGGGGGAGAGTTGTAACATCCGGTTTCCTGTCATTTCTTATCTCAGGGCCATAGGACTGGAGTCGATTGTGTAAAAGCTTTGGGCCTTAAGGATGTAAGGTTTAGACCATTAGAAGGACGTAATGATGGTTGAGAGATCTAACCCTTGAGCTGTGTACTGGACCAAAGGGTAGAAAATGGAAAAGCTATAGGCCGAGTTTCTTGCATGAAGTATGGATTTTAGTTCGAGCAGTTTTTAGTCCAAAGTAACTAGATTATGTGGTGGGGCTCTTCAACACCTTTATGTGCATATAAAGAACGCTAAAATCGAAGTTGAAACGAAGAAGTTGCCGCAAATTGAATTTTGGTTGGAATGTGAAGCATGGTAGTACGATGGGCGTACTCTAGGTACGTTGGGCGTACGCTAGGTACGTTGGGCGTACTAGCTGACCAAAAATGCGACTTTAGAAGCGTACATTGGGCATACACGGTCATAACCCATATATTGTGAGTGATCCTAATTTCAGGGTTTTGAGATCTATTTAAGCTCCTTAACTTCCCCAATCCCTCTCCATTCTTAGACTCCATCTCTTCGACATCATCCCTTGAAACCCTAACACTAGTTTGAGCCTTGTGAGCTAAATAAGGTGTTTTTGAGTGTCTTTGAAGGAAGAAGAAGGCGGTGATTGTGATTAGAAGCTTAAAGCAACCTTGGATCTGGAAGTTCTCCTCCGTTATTCATCTCAAGAAGGTATAAAGTTTGTACCTTTATGCCTCCATTTATAGATCTAGTTTAGAGGTTAAAGTTATGTCCTTTTTGTCCCACAAATTGGTCTATTTGAGTGTGAGTTGTCCCAGAGCTTGTGGGGTGTATTTCCAGGTGTATTTGAGGATATCAAGTCATAAAAACACAATCTTGGTCTTGTTCTTCCATTCATGCATGAGTTATGAAGCCTAGAATCTTATGATAAGTTATGGTTTTGGATTTGGACCCTTTCTAGCCATGCAAAATCATAAAGTTGGAAACTTTATGATTTAGAATATCATTTGGACTTAGATCTGAGCTCTGGATGAAAGGTCTTAAGGGATAAAGTGCTTAATGGAAATGTTAGAGCCAACTTGCGTACGTTGGGCGTACTAGGCCTGAACCATGTATGTTGGGCGTAGGTAGAGTACGCAGGGCGTACTCAGCCTGGCTTGAATTTTGACTTTCGTTGACTTCTGTTGACCATTGACTTTTTTACCAAGTTTGACTTTCGATCAAACTTGAGGGCTTCAGGCTATTGATTAAGATTCTATCTGGTTTTGGTGATAGAGGATTCGTGGGAGCAAGCAGTGCAGAAGGGAGCGTGCCACAGTGTTTCAGGGTTCTTCGATTCAGATGAGTTTTGCCTCATTGTACCCGTGGGTCGAAGGCACCAATGCCGACCCACTAACTTTGATTATCATTTTTATCAGGATGCCCTAGGGACTATATGTAGTCACGCAGGATAGACTGGGGACTCTTGATCTAGGCTCTCCTGCATGTTCCTTGTTTGGTTGTGGTTCTAGAGTAGGATCATCTATTCGGGTGACTATCTCACTTCTGGTTATATGTAGTTACACATTCCTTGCTAATTTGGTCACATATCCTTGTGTATAGGATGCTTCTATGTTGTAGTGATCTGCTATATATATATATATATATATATATATATATATATATATATATCCTGGTGTGATAGGATGCAACAGTAGTGTTATATTGGTTAGAGTACTAGTAGGCAGGTTATCGTCTAGTGGAGTGTCCTAGGGACTGTACGTAGTCATGTAGGATATCATGATAACTCCTGATCTAGGCTTTCTTACATGCTCCTTATTTGGTTGTGGCTCTGGAGTAGGATCATCTGTTCGGGTAGCTATCTCACCTCTGGTCACTTATGGTTACACATTCCATGGAGGTTATCTGGTAGTGGAGTAGTGTGTTGTGAGTGATCCAGTAGGCAGTAGCGAACTATATTCTTGATATTCCTTGTATAATGTGCCTACTTGATCCTTGTTTGTTTATATGTCGACATATCGTGGTGGTTGAGGTTGATGCGGTCCTGCTGTGTGTTGTAGGCCAAGATACCTGGTGCAGACCGACTGCAAGCCGTAGGCACGGAGGATTGGGAAGAGCGGTTGGGTTGAGGCGGTAGGCCAACAAACCCTAGGTATTCTAGTCCAATGACTGATTGGATCATTTGCATGTTGGCATTCCAATCCGACGACTGATTGGGCCAGGGTAATCCAATCCGATGATTATGGACCCGATATGCATGCTAGTATGTTTGTTGTATGAGGTATTTTGGGGGAAACTCACTAAGCTTTGTGTTTACCCAGTTGTTTATGTTTCAGGTTCTACCGGTGATCGTAGGAATGTGAAGACGGGACTGTACACACTCATCAGCAACATCTAGGATTCTGCGTTTACTATAATACTCTGATTTTCAATAAATGTAATTAGGAATAAATGGTTTTCTTAGAATGAATTTATAATTGAGAAGTTTTACCTTAATAAAAATGAAAATTTTTTGTTGTGAAAATAGGACGTCACATATAACATCATTTTTTGCAAACGATTTGCAATTTTGGAGTTGCCATCTGCGAAATTCATGGCTATTTTGGTGATTGAGCCAATTTTTGACAATTCTTGGAAAATGATTTGATGAAATTAAATATATTTGTCTTTTATTTTTCTACTTTTAAATATCACTACCTAGTGTTATGATAACATATTAGCTAGTTTACTTGTTGGTAAATATTTGTTTGTACACATGGTACATATATTCGATTCAAGGATACAATCCTATAAAAATACATATTCCCTAATGTTATATGAATAGGAGGATAAATATACATTATATGAGTAGGAGAATAAGTAGGAAGAAAATATGAAAAAAATATTTAATTTTTTTTTAAATAATATTTCGGGCCCTTATCAAACATACCAATGTTTTATTTTTAAATGAAGTTACCTTAACATATATGAAAACATTGTTACATGCATCCGAAGATATAAGTCTTTAATTAGCATGCACTTATACTGTTATACAATCAGTTTACATTGTATTAATTAAAAAAAACGTACATGAAACACATTGGTAGAAGCATCCAGGATTCAAAAATCATGTTGCATTTTGCAAACAAGAAAGTATTCTATTGGAACTTTTACAAGGAAAAGACATTTTCACACCCACATGAACCACTTATTATCATTGATTTTCTTGGTAGATAATAAGGATATCATTTTTTTTCTTTTGGGAATTTCTCTTTCATATTTTATATATTTCTTTTCTTATAGATATAAAATTCCAATAAAAGTAGTTGTGATTCATAATTTATATAATTTTTTTTAAGGAAAATTTAGTATGTCTCCATCATTTTTTTATATTAAATGTTGAAACATATTATATTTATTAAACAATAGAATATATCATGGACTCTCCACACACACAACCACAACCACCAACACCGCTCCTATAAATACAGCAGCCAGTTAGTTGAAGGGTCACGTTAACAAGTCTCTCACTTCTCCATTCGCTCTCTCTCCTACCACAGACTACTCTCCTTCACGAAAAGTCGAAAACACAGAGAATTAATGGGGATTTTGAAGGACAACGGTGTCGTTTACGAACCTATCAACGAAGTTGATCTTGGCCCTAATAGCGATCAACTCTACCTCCATTCCGATGTCAAAGGTCTCTTCATTCACCTTCATTTCAATTTCATCTCGTTTAATTTCTCCATGATCGATCTTCTCCAATCTCCATTTCCATCAATACACACAGTTTTTATATCTCTCTGTGTGTGTGGATGATTTTGATCATAGCTTAAATGTGTGATCGATTATACATATTACGTATGAACTTTAACTGAATTTGCGATCATCAACTAGCTTTAACTAACTGATGTATGTGTATATGAGTATAAGATTGCGTTATGTATGTACATACAGTTTCTGTGTGTGTGTGTGTGTGAATTTGATTGTCGACTAAATGTGTGATTATATATATTATGTATGAATGTATGACATAATTTGATAATTGGCTTGAATTAATGTATAGATATATGATTGTATATGTATAAACAGCTCCTCGAATGGCTGGATTTCTTGCAAAGGTATTCGTGTGGTTTTTGGAGATGAAGATAATCGGCAAGATTTTGCTTTACTTTCTGAAGAAGAATAACCGAATTCAAAAGGTATGGAATTATTCTTTTGTTAATGTAGTTTTCGTAATTTAGAAAATTTGGATTTAACGTATATTGTTGGCATTATTTTAATTAACAAAATCATTAAAGAGCATTAAATTTTGGTTCATAATTTCATATAATGATGTATTATAAATTAAACAAATTTTAATGAATATATCTTTTATAAACAATAGGTTTATTTTTTTTTTTGTTCCAAAGTTTAATTAATTAATGAGTTCAAAACATGCATAAACATTCCAATGAACACTTGTTAATATGTTTAACCTTTTAGTAGTTAAATCGTTAATTATTATGTTTTTTTTTAATCAAATTCATACAAACCCGTTTTTGCTAAAAATAATATACAATTTTAATTTTAGTGTGTAAATAATACAATAATGTGAAGTAATTTAAGATAAACATTGTATATAATATACATCTCAATAAACTTTGAAGTATGGTGATTTTTATGGACAAAGGGAGTAAGAAGTAGGACCAAATAAGTATTCAATTTTGAAACTTCTAGTGCCTTATAAATTGGAAATTGACAACTCATTTATGATTGTAATTTAAAGAATACTATTTTTAATAAAGTTTTTTACTTGTTTGAAATAAAACACATGTATCATCTTTGATTTTTAGAATTACTTTTATAATTCTTTATATGACGTGAGAGGAATAAATAATGTGGAGTAATAGGTAGATTGTGGATTGTTATAAGAGAAGTATTTCCCCACTCAATTAATCAACAAAAACTAGCTTAGGCCAACTTTCTTCTTTAGGTTAAGTTGTGAATTGCTTCCATTACACCTTTGCTTGATTTGGATGTGTAATAATTGTTATGACTAATCAAATAAATATAACAAAGTAATAGATGTAAATTAAAATTCAGGAAATAGTTTTGTAAAACAACATATGATGGTTCCGGTCATACATTCTAAGTGAAAAAAATAATGTTTTTTTTGTGTCCTTTTAATTAAAAAAACACCTTTCTAGTGAATATTTTTAGTATTACTCATAAAAATATATTATTCGGAATATTATATTAGAATATTATTAAAGATTTTTTTTATTAAGGATATAAGAATTTTGTATATTGTAATATTCTAATAGAATATATATTACACATATTATATTATTATGAGAATATTTTATTTGAATAATGCACTAGAATGGTGATTTATTTACTTGAAATAAAAAGTTGCGAAAGTTCATGATAATTTTTTTAACACCTTAAATGTGTTTCTAAGATCGTCCACATGTGTTAAAAAATCTTATGAACTCGACCTCTAATTATATATATATATATATATATATATATATATATATATATATATATATATATATATATAGAAAAGTTCAATAGAGAACTATAATTATTGGTTCTTTAAGGAACCAAATTTTTTTTTCAATTTCTAGAACTTATTCTTTATCGAAAAAAAAATCTAAAAATATCTAAATTCATATATTAACATTGTGAATGTGAAAAATATTGGTGAATCCGGATTCACATTGTGAATTTTCAAAGATTCACATTGTGAATTTGACGTAAAAATATATATATATTTGAATTTGATATCATTGGAAAAAGGATAAAAAGTTATGAATTTCTGTATTTTTAGTTTTTTTTTTTTTGATAAAAAATAAGTTCTAAAAGTTGAAAAAAAGATTGGTTCCTTGGTTAATTATGGTTCTCTATTGAACCTCGCCCTATATATATATATATATATATATATATATATATATTAAATTGGTTTTAATTTTAATATTTTTACCTTCTTGTATATGGAATAAATTCAACTTCTAACTATTTAGAAAATTTTGAAGGTATACCTAATTTGACCTATATTTAACCTTAAAACAATTATATGCTTGGAATGTTACATATAATATCGTTTTTTCTTATAATTGAAGGTACATTTAATTGATAAAGAAGAAATTAACATAATTTGTAAAGATTAACATATGATTTTTTTTCATAAAATTAATTTTTTTTACAATACTTACTACAAATTATTGTAAAAAGTAATTAATTAAGGTAGGTAATTAATGTTTATTTCACAAGTTCAAAAAATCAAAGTTATATTTATTTTGACAAAGTTAAATATTTGTTTATTTGATTAATAATTGAACATTTTTAATTTGGCTAACTCACTCCATTCAGTCACATAAGTGTCACGTCACTTTTTCTCACTCCTCTAAACTTAGGAAATAATTAATCAAAACAAGTCAATGTAAATATGTGATTCTTTAAGTTAGGTAGTAGCGTTTAACTATGTCTATTTAATTACTATTTGTTAAACATTACTGTGTTTTTAAGACATGAATTGGTATCTTATTAGTATTGCAATTCAAAGGAGCATAGAAATAGTCCTTACATGTAATAATTTCATGTAGTGAATATTCAAAATTTATGTCTTTAAACGTATATAATAACTTTTAAACATCCAAATTTTTTATTAAACTAAAAATTAAAATATGTTAAATGGTATGAAATATTCAAATTACACCATAACGAACTATCAACTAACAGAACCAATCATATAAAACAAACAATAAGTTCAATTCTTAATATGTTTTGTAATTCAAAAGTTTAGATGTCGACAACATTTTATGTCATAAAGAAACACTTACAATAATACATGAAAAATAAACATTTATAATAATTCATAAAATAGTCAACCAAGTAATCGCTTGGTTGGTAAAACTTTAACTTTGTCAAGTTCAAATTTTTGGATGATCTTTATTACGTATGCACCAAATGCAATCTCAAATTGAATGTAATATGTATATATATTAAAGTTATTATTTAAATAAAATGAGTTAAAATTAAGACTTTGAATTTGAATATTTTTCCTGCATACTTTAAGACTTTTAGGTGGGATGAGATTTGAGAGTATGGAGTATGGAGTATGGACTACTGGGACCAACTTTAGTAATAGTAATTTTGTGGACCAGTTTATTTATTATTGGATCTTCAAATAATCATCCACATCGGGCTCTCTGGAATAAACAACTATCATACTATCAAATATCAATCATATCATATACTCATAGTCATAGAGTCACAGTGTCATTAAACCATATTAAAATAAGTTTGCTATGATATAAGTGGCATTAATAGACGTTTGAATTTAGTTAGGTCAACTCAACATTTTAAACTTGAATATATGCTAGCAAATAAGTGATATTATATAAGAAAATAGGTAATTGTTAAAGATAGCGTTAAGTATAGGTCTTTAGACTCTATTATTATTAGAGTAAATTACACGAATGGTCCCTATGGTTTGGGGTAATTTGCGCGCTTGGTCCCTAATTTATTTTTTTAATTCGGAAGGTCCCTACTGCTTGTTTTTGTTACGCGCTTGATCCATGTCTTACATAAATTGACTATTATTTAAATAGAGAAAAATGATGGGGTAGGTAAGGTAAGGTGGAAGGGGGGTGGTTTGGGGTGTGTTTATTTAAATAAATAAAAAAATCAGGGCCAAATAGTCTTTTTAGGTAAGACAGGGACCAAACGCGTAACAAAAAACAAACAGTAGGGACCTTCCGAGTTAACAAAATAAGTTATGGACCAGACGTGCAAATTACCCTAAACCATAGGGATCATTCGTGTAATTTACTCTTATTATTATTATTCAAATAATTTAATATTTTTTTGTAATGAATAATCAAATAGAATTATGTTTCCTTTCTTTTAAAAATTCTTAATATCAAACAATGTAAATCGAATAATCTAAATTTTAGAATGTAAGAGATAATAAAATAAAATACTCATAGGTAAAAGTTGAAACAAAATACAAACTCAAATAATTTAAATTTCAGATTGTGTTTTTTTTGGGACCAGTCATAAAGACTGGGGTGAGAATTTTCTTTTGGATTTTGACCGGTTCAGTTTTACATTAATGACTTCAAAAATTATCAAATCTAATAACCGATGTAGCAAACAGTTCATTTTAGAATGTAAGAGATAATAAAAAAATAATTACAATAATAACAAAATGAAAAAATAAAGTACCATATATTTCTAAAATTAAATTAGTACCTTGCTTTTTTTTTTTTGGTGCAGTTAGTTTCATATGCGGTGTTGGAAGAATCACCTCTATACGTTCCTTTACACCCTTATGAAGGTCAGTTTCAGTTTCATTAAATAAACATCGCTATGATTCATAAATCATAATACAATATTTATAATCGATTTAATTCAGAATTTGAAGAACAAGAAGAAGAAATTGAATGTCTAAATCGTGGTTTGTCAGCATCAGAACAAGTTCAACATGCTGTTGATTGTTTACAGTCTTCAGATTCTTCTATACTTGAAGATTCAAACTTCAGTTTTCGCAGATGGACGATTTTGGATTATTCTAAAGCTTATGCATCACGACAAATAACTCCTCTTATGGTATGTCAACAACTGAACTTTTTTCTAACTATGACCTAAACTCAATTGGACAAAAAATTGTACATTTTTGTCCTGCTAAAGTAATGAGACAAAAAGATGTACCAAAAAAGGTGTAACATGTCATTTTTGTGACTAAAGTTAATGATACAAAAAATTGTATCCAAAAAGGTGTATATGTTAGATTTGTGACTCATGTACAAAAAATTATACCCAAAAAGCTATCAGATTTGTGAGTGAAGTCAATAATGGTACAAAAAATTGTACCAAAAAATGAGTAAATGTTATATTTTTGAGTTCAATCATTTGGACAAAAAGTTATGCCAAAAACATGTAAAAGGTCATATTTGTAAATTTGTGTGATTAAAGTCAATGGGACAAAATGTACTAAAAAAACTACAACATCTCACAAATTTGACTAAATTCAATGGGCCAAGTTTGTATAAAAAAAGATGTAACATGTTATATTTGTACGTCAATGGATGACATGTCACTAAAGTCATTGGGACAAAAAGTTGTACAAAAGAATGTGTGACATGCGATATTTGTGACAAAAGTCAATGGACAAAAAGTATACTCTTATATTTGTGACTAAAGTCAATGGGACAAAAGGTGTACCCAAAAAGATGTGACATGTCATATTTGTGACTTAAGTCATTGGGACAAAAAATTGTACAAAAGAATGTGTGACATGTCATATTTATGACAAAAGTCAACGGACAAAAAATTGTACCCAAAAAGGTGTAACAACAGATCAGATTTGTGACTAAAGAGTCAATGTGACTATAAATTGTACCCAAATTTGTGGAATAAGGTGGAAAAGACATGATTCTTCTCTCTCATTTTCACAAAAGACATGAATGCCCTTCTCATCTTCATCATCAAAAATAACCCTAAAAAACTTGTTCAAAAAATGTCACTAACAAAAACAGTTAAGATTCTTGAGTGGTTAAAATCAACACGGTTTTTTCAGGTTGCAGAGCGATTAATATCAGCAGTCATGCAGTCTTCTGGTCCAGAAATGGATATGTCATTCTTTATTAGTTATGATACTCATGATATTCTAAGGCAAGCTACTGAGTCAACTCTACGTTATCAAAGAGGTAAGTACTATGGGCATTTACGTAATTTAAACTCATTTTAAAATCATACTCAATTAGGGAATTTTGATATTTGCTGTTTATGTATGTAGGTGAAGCGATTTCTGTTCTAGATGGAGTCCCTATTGCAGTCAAGGATGAAATAGATTGCATGCCTTATCCAACCACAGGTAATTTCATCTCTTGCTAATATATATATATATATATATATATATATATATATATATATATATATATATATATATATATATATATATATATATATATATTATGGATAATGTACATTACTTTTTACCTATAAAAGCAACATACCTATATATATATATATATATATATATATATATATATATATATATATATATATATATATATATTTTACTGATAATAGCATTATTTACATTTACTATTATTGGTAAAGAAATGCATGTAAGTTGCTATATGGTTGAGGATGTCTCTTGTAAAAAGGTTCAATGAAGACTTATGTTTTAATATATATAAAGTTGATCAAGGGTATAGTGGTCGTTTAATAAAGGGTAAATTTATTTTTTTATGTTTTGAGTTGCATTACTTACCATTGTTTGTTGTAGGAGGTTCAAAGTGGCTACATAAAGTAAGACCTTGTAAAGAAGATGCTTGTTGTGTTATGAGGTTGCGTGCATGTGGTGCCATACTTGTTGGAAAAACAAATATGCACGAGCTTGGTGCAGGAACCAGTGGGATAAATCCTCATTACGGGTAAACAAAAAAAAATTGCATTTCCATTTATAACCTTGGCTAGAGCTATTTTTTTATGAGGAGGGTATTCATGTCTTTTGCACAGATGAGTGATCGAGAGCGAGTCCATGTCCCACCTTCTTCAACCTTTTTTACTGGAACAAAAAAGTCGAAAATTTTGTCCCAGTCCAATGCACGCCAATTGCAGTAAAGTCTGTCATGTCATGTCTTGTCTTGTCCTTCTTGGACACACCTATCCAATGCACACCAAACACAGTACAGTTTGTTCTGTCATGTCATGACTTGTCTTGTCCTTCTTGGACACTGATAGCCTGGTCCAGTCCAATGCACGCTAAACACAGTCTGTTCTGTCATGTCTTGTCTTGTCCTTCTTGGACACACATAGCTTGGTCCCGTCCAATGCACACCAAACGCAGTACTTTCTATTCAGTTTTGTGATGTGATGTCATATCTTGTCTTGTCCTTCTTGGAAACTGATAGCCTGGTCCAATCCAATGCACCAAACGCAGACAGTCTATTATGTTCTGTTCTGTCATATCATGTCATGTCATGTCGTCCTTCTTGGACACTCATAGACTCATATATATATATATATATATATATATATATATATATATATATATATATATATATATATATATATATAATTTTTAACGCAGGACTTCACGAAATCCATATGATCCCAAACGGATCTCCGGTGGTTCATCTAGCGGATCTGCTGCTGTTGTATGTGCAGGGCTGTGCCCTGTAGCCCTCGGTGTTGATGGGGGAGGTAAAGTTACTAAAATTGAAAATCGATTAATATGTTACAATTTGTTTTTTCGAATGTAAGGGTAAAACGGTCACTTACACGGTTTATTCGGTCTTGAAAAGGAAAAGAACTTATCTATACAACACTTTTTCCACATCATTACCCATTCAACCACTTTACCTAATAGGAAATAGAAAGAAACAAACCAAGGTTTGGTTTTTAATTTTCATTATTTGTCTAGGATCTGTGAGAATGCCTGCTGCTCTTTGTGGTGTTATAGGGTTAAAACCATCTTTTGGGCGCATACCACACACAGGGTCAGTTTACTTTTTTAACCTTATATACATGATATTCATCAAGAATACCAAGTCATTTTCTTTTCTATCTTTTTTTTTTCAGGGTTCTACCCTTGAATTGGACAGTTGGAATGGTTGGAATATTAGCAGGAACAGTTGAGGATTCTCTTATTGTGTTAGTGTTCTTCATTTCTAAAACCACTAAATTGTTTTCCACTCAGACTTTTATAATTTTTTTTTTACAACTTTCCACTTTGTTATATATTTTCAGTTATGCAGCCATCAGTGGTCCAGCTGAATCACACAAACCAAAAATTGTACTTAATTCGTCCTATATCACCATTATGTAAAGATCTCCTTAATGTGCTTATCAGTTGTTTTTTGTGCTTAAATTCATACTAGACTTTGAATTTAAGCAACAAAAAGAATCGATAAGCACACTAAGCAAAACATTTATTCTAGACATAGTGGACTCATAAACTTTTTTTTTTTTTTTTTTATTTTATACAGCCTAGATTGAATTTGCCAAAGCTGAATCTTTCTAATATGTCTAGTATCAAGATGGCTAAATCTAATGAGGTTTTTACTTCACCTCTATGTTTGATTTTAATTTTTTTATTCCTTTATGATAATTATAAACTTTCTGCTTTCTAATTCTATATATCAGTGGTTCAATGATTGTTCGGATGATATTAGAGCTTGTTGTTCACGTGCTTTGGCTAATCTTCATAAGTTGTATGGATGGGAGGTACTCAATGTTTATTTTCTTTACTCTATATTAATTTGTTGAGTAAATTACACGAATGGTCCCTATGGTTTGGGGTAATTTGCACGTTTGGTCCCTAACTTATTTTTTTAACTCAAAAGGTCCCTACAGTTTGTTTTTGTTGCGTGCTTGGTCCCTGTCTTACCTAAAAAGACTATTTTGCCCTTGATTTTTTACTTTATTTAAATAAAGTGGGGTAGGTAAGGTAAGGTAAGGTGAGGTGGAAGTGGGGTTGGGGTGTGTTTATTTAAATAAATTAAAAAAATCAAAGGCAAAAATAGTCTTTTTAGGTTAGACAGGGACCAAACGCGCAACAAAAACAAACTATAGGGACCTTCCAAGTTAAAAAAATAAGTTAGGGACCAAACGTGCAAATTACCCCAAACCATAGGGACCATTCGTGTAATTTACTCTAATTTGTTTAAGTAAATAGAAAAAGGAAATGTCAGAGCTTCTTTACTTTTCTAAAATATAATGTTGTAATATACATAAATGAAAGTAGGATGTTACAATAAACAAATTAATGAAAATATGTTGCTATTTTTTCTATTTAACGTTAAAACTCCCACAATGTATCTTTATTTTTTCTTCATACAGACAATAGAGGTGACTTTACCAGATATAGAAGTGATGCGTTTGGCACATTATGTTACTATTGGTTCAGAATGTACAGCATCTATTGCTCATCATTTAGAAAAGATGTAAGTAAATTTCCAATACACACCAAAGTCAACATTTAATTAAAAAAAGAATAGGCAAAACACAATTTTATCCATTTATCCATTAATCTATTGTCTGCATTCTGCAATGATGCTGAATTGCTAAAATTTTTAACTTGAAATGAATCAGGGGAAAGTCAGAATCAGGATGGGATGTAAGAGTTGCACTTTCTATATATGGTTCTTTTAACAGTAGGGATTACTTAAATGCACAACGAATCAGGTATCAAATAGCTTAAATTCTCCCAAATTTATATATATTTTTTTTTTCTAAAATTTCATTGAAATTTTTATGTAGAAATCGTCAAATGAAGTTCCATGAAAAGATTTTCAGCATGGCTGATGTCATTGTTTCACCTATGGTTGGGTATGATCTTGAACCATAAAAATCTGGATAAGTTTTGTTAAAATATATTTAAGATGTAAAGCCTCCTTTTTTTTTGAATAAAGTAAAAAAAAAGCATCTAATTTTATTTATGGTTCGTGGTAGTGTAACTGCATATGAAATAAAGGATGATGTAAGAGACACCGGAGAATTGGACTACGTTAATGGAGGTAGTATATATATATATATATATATATATATATATATATATATATATATATATATATATATATATATATATATATATATATATATATATATGATACTTTGCCTTTAATGCTTGTTTTTTATTTTTCACTAGATTTTTAATTTCAATTTTTTTTTTCTCTCAGCTGCACTCGTTCGATATTCAATAGCTGGAAATTTTCTTGGATTGCCAGCTGTGACTGTTCCAGTAAGTTATATAACAAATTTGGAAAATGATAGCACTGGACTGGACAAACTTTCTGGAGCTATTTGTCATGATGACATCACTCCTAGTCTTATTCTAAAACGTTACCAAATACAGTATAACTTGTTTTTGTCCTGTAGTGACAAACCGACAAACTGGGCCTTAGTGGGCCAAGTGGGTTAACAATTTAGTTCTTTCTGGTAGGTTGGGTACGACAGACTTGGGTTGCCTATTGGGATTCAGTTTATCGGGAAGCCATGGTCCGAAGCTAAATTGATTCAAATTGCTTATGCTATGGAGGTAAATTGGGAAAATTTTCTTAGTTTTATATATTATATTACTCTTGAGGTTGGTTGTGTTTCTTGAACTAATTCTTACTTGACATGGTTTGTTTTTAGGCGTTGTGTAAGACTGAATACAAGAAGCCACATGTTTTTTATGATATACTAGCACCAAGCTAATGTCGTTAGAGATGATCAAGATTGAAGATACAACAACTTCTATCGTAAATCAACAAAATATTAGTTTTATATTTGATTTATTGAATGTGTGCATGGTCCCTCACCCGATCGGCCACATAAAAGTATGCAATAGGTTACCATTTACCTTTTTTTTTTTTTTTTTTTTTGTTTTGTGTATAGTTTGTTTGTTGTTGGTTACATTTATCTTCATTATATGATCAATTTGAAGTCCAATATTTCATTTCTCAAAATAAATTTTTTTGTTGTTTTATTATATGTAAGCTTCGACACTATGCGTTGTTAAACAAACCAGTAATAGTAAAAACTTCATTGCTGATACTTGAGAATAAGTATTGTTCAATGCCACCTCAACCAATAATAGGTATATAGCGATGACAATTACAATTACTGGAATTTCTCTTCTGGATATGTCGTTTCAATGATATATTTATGTTTCACAACTAACTTAATTTATGAAACAATTAGTTTTTTTTATATATTATTGAAATGTTAAAGATTTTTATATTAATATTATGAAAGAAGACGGCCAAAAATTATGTTGAAAACTATTTAAGATCAAGATTGAATTGTAACATGAAACAATAATTTAAAGGAAAATAGAAAGCCTTAGATAGGAATATAAAATTAGGTTGCTCCTATCTAGTGGCACATTTATAACCAATACTTAATCTAGGGCCATCATATATAAAAGATAAATATAATGAAATTAATAAAAAGGATATGAATTTGTAGGTTCTTGTTGGTGGATTTCAACAAGAATGGGTGCCAAAAAAGCTTAAATGGGGCCAATTATATAATTTAATAAAAAATATAGCTTTTATTAAAATGTTAGATGCGGTTTAATTTAAGTGGGTCCATACACCCTACTTATGATACACTAAGAAGTTGTGTCTGACCGAGTCAGATAAAAACAGTTTGTCGCAACAATTAGTAGTCTATGATTCGGTCATACAATATAGTCTATATGATATGGACAATTAAATCAGGTATTGATTTGATCAGACTCGATCAACAATTATCAAACAACCCTTAACAAGACTCAATAAACAACTATCAAACAACTCTTATATGCGCCCCTGCTTGTATCACCCACTGCAATGTCCCTTAATTTTGAGGTTCTCGGGGATTGGCGGTGAAGTTGTTAATATGCATAATGCATAGTCAGTCTCAAGCCACATCTAAGTTAACACTTGCCGAGATTTTGAACTCATAGCCTCCCCTAGGGAGTTTATCCTTATCCGTCTCTACCACTACACCACTAATTAAACTACTCTAAGGTGATGGTTTAAATAAATATGTTAGACAATGTCAAATAGATAATTGAAAAAGAAGACAAAATTAGTCACTTTTTAAAGCTTTCCAAAATATTAAACAAAAATTAAAAACAATTTCCCACTAACCACCATTTTCCAGGGCCCACCATGAAATGGGGGGAGGCTTTGCTATCACAACTAAGAATTTTAATGCTTTGTAAACATTGAACAAGGATAACATTGTAACTAAAAACTTGAAAGCAATGTATGATGCTTATTCAATGACAACCAAATTCCATCAAACACTCTATTCAAAACACTCAAATAGTCAACAAAAGGTTGGAAACCCTAGAAATCCCGGTTTAAGTCCATTATGGACTAGGATTTCTTTATTGGGCCTAATGGGCCAATAAACCTCCAATGTGACTATCTTGGGCTTAGAACTCTTAAATGGGCTCTAATTAGACCCATTATCATAAGACTTAACCTTTTTGGGCTTTATAAGTCTAAAATGGACTAGTTACCTTTAATGGGCCTTATTGGGCCATAACAATCCAATAATCCCTAAAAAGCCACAAATCCATTCTTGCATGCACATTTGGGCCGTAACCCACTCCAAAGGCTCAAATGGGCCAAAAGCTATTAAATTGGGCTCCATATTTTGGACTCTAACACCAAGGCCCAAATATTTTCTTCTCCCTCTCTCTCTTTCGGCCCAAGTTAAACAAAACAAAACAAAAAAATAGGAAAAGAAGGGATAAGGGAGGGTTGACTTTCCATGGTGCCACTTCATAATTATCCATGGGATATCCATGCATCAAGTCACATACTTCCATGCATCCATCCTATCACCTCTCTCTCTTCTCATTCTACTACTCTCGGCCGAGAGTATCAATACACATACATACACACACACTTATTTCACTTCTAAATCCTCTCAAGAGCTCACAACAACTTCTTCACTTCTCCTTCAAAATTTTCGAGAGTTAGGGCTCTTCAAGGAGGTTATTCCATAATAATCATCATCATTGGTAAGTTATTGGTTAGATCCATAACCTAGTCTCTTTATTTCATCAAAACTTCTTCCTAACTCACACCATTTTCGTGATCTACTTCTTAGAAACTTCTTAAGTTCGAAATCAACCCAAGAAAGCTTGCTAGGGCCGAAAAATAGCATCAAACTCTTCCCTTTCTTCTTCAAATCGAAAACAACAAGCAAATGTGAGTTCATACCCCTCTATTTTCGGTTTTCACAAGTTTTATGGGGGAGAATGCAAGTAAAATGTGTAGATCTATGTGTACGTGTATGTTATGTGTGATTTCATGTGTTTATGTGGTAAATATGTAACAAAAAGGAAAGAAATCTCGAGATCTATGGCACAAGAAGGAAAATAAACATGATCTAAGATATATTACACTAAACAAGTCAAGAAAAATTACTCTCTAAGGTTATAATAAACATATTGCAACATAAAACTCATTTTTGGACTATATTTGTCAAATAAACAAAAGTTGGGTTAAAAATTGTCATTCACGGTTTTCTTAAGGACCAAAAGAGTCAAAACAGTTAAAATAAATGTTTTTATGAATATTATGCTCTTCAAAGGACTAGAAATGTGATTTGTAGCTTAATGGGCCAATTTTTGGGCTTTTCGGACCATAGGCCCAAAAATTGCGAAAAATGTGATTTTCAAGGGGTTGAAATGGTAAATTTCTCAAAACAGGGGAAAAAGGGTAAACAAAACTATTTCAGGGGTTAAAATGATTTTTTTCCAAAACGGATAAAAAATGTAAAGTTTTTGGAATTTGGGTCAAAATTGTAAAAGTTGCGAAAAGTTTGGACTTTAACTGAAAAACTCTTTGCTGAAGGGTAAACAAAACTATTTCAGGGGTTAAAATGATTTTTTTCCAAAACGGATAAAAAATGTAAAGTTTTTGGAATTTGGGTCAAAATTGTAAAAGTTGCGAAAAGTTTGGACTTTAACTGAAAAACTCTTTGCTGAAAGGGCTGAAACTGCCAAAGAGTAAATTTTGAGCTAAAAACATTACTTAAACAAGTCTATGGATCAAAAATGTCAAGAAAATGGTTTTAGGGACCTAAAATGTCTTTTTTTTATAAGGGACTAAGATTGTCATTTTTATTGAAGAAGGGCTGAATAGGTCAAACCAATATTTTGAATCAATTATTTTATTATTAAGATATTTGGGTCAAAAATACCAAATTACGACTTATGAAAATAGAATGAAAAATATACATATATTTTTAAATATCGTTATAAACAATCGACAAGCCTCGTGCCGTTACAAATATTAACAATTGTTCAATCAAGCTTCCGACAATTAATACTATACCTAAAACAAGTAAATATTCAAATTGTTGGGCTTGAAAGATCCTAATCATGCTTATTGGGCCTTCGTGGCCCATTGACATGACTTTCGGGCCTAACAATGATAACACATGTCTATTGGGCCTCCTGTGACCCAATTACATGTTTAATGGACCCTCAATGATTTTTACATGTTATTGGGCCTCAGTGGCCCATTATGCATTACTAGTAAGGTCCAAGTAAATTAAATGCGAGAGGGGCCAACGCGTTTTTCGTATACTCGACAGCCTTATATAACATATGAAATTACTAGGGCCTAGTAGTCCTCTTCTCCTCGTCTGTTAGGCTTACCTTCTTTTTGTATAAAATCAAATTCGATCATTAATCAAGGTTAATCAAACTCATGTGGATTGATTGAGGAATAACGGGTGACACCAATAAGTGTCGGTCGTAGTCTGTAGTTGTAATCAAAGTCTCCTGGAGGGAGAGCGAGAGTTTGTGTATAGATCTATACGGGGGTGACTCCCCCACACCTAAGCTGTTCGCTACAGTTAGACTCGGCCAGTCTAGGGTGACAAAGTCTTAAGATCAAATTCGGTGTTCATTAGAATACTAAGACAGACGAACTAGTCATTATAATGCATGGTTATAACGACTCACGTAGAAATCCGACATCATTAATCAGGGGAAATCATTAATCAAGGGAAATCATTAATCAAAGGAAGATCATTAATCAATGGAAATCATATTCATTCGATGTAACGATTCAATAAAGCAAAACAATCATAACTTTTATTCGGAAGTCACGTGAGCCCTCTGACGTTTCCGCCGTCTGGTTCGGGGGTGTGACAGGTTGGTATCAGAGCACTGTTTATAGTGAACTGGCATATCTAACCACACATGGATATGCAACTATAAACCCAGCAAGGGACTAAATAACTCTGAACAAAACAAATAAAATATACCAATAAACACTCTTATTTGTGCGACTTAAAAAAACGAACACAATAACAACTCGAATAAAACAATTGGGAGAACCTGACATCCCGGTTAAGCCAGGACTGTTCACAGTTGTATTAGGGATGAATGTAGCCTGATCAACTACATTTCTTCGTAATACAACTATCACATGCCCTGGAAAGATCGCGATGGTCAGTAAACCCAAGGCATACCCTATTGTTAAACAAGAGGAATGCATCAACCCAATTTTTATAACAACTATAAATATTCTAGGATTAATAATAGCTTATTTTATATACCTCTTCACGATACCCCCCCCCCCCCCCCCGTGCAGACAGTATGGCTGGGTTCCATCTCCCTGGAGATCCGTATTTCCCCAATCAGGGAAATAACGGATGGCTAGAGGAATCTGACGAGGAGCCTGAAGAGGACCCCATGGAAGAAGAGGAACCGGAAGAGGAAATCGAAGAAGGACCTGCAGAACCTGTGGCAGACATGGAAGAGGAAGAGTCGGGTGGCGATAGCAGCGATGATTCGGACACTGAGTCTGTAGTCATCAACCCCCCATACCCAGTGAGGGTGCCAG